TATTACCTTGCATGCCAGTACGCTGAGTACTCTTTCATGAAGATTCATAATTGGATGATTACCACATTTATATCGATTTACTACTGGATCTGTATGAAGTCCCACTATAAGATAATCACCTTCTTTCTTTGCAACTTCTAAGAAATCTAAATGACCAACATGAAAAAGGTCAAATGCCCCTGCTACATAAACTACTTTATCCCCAGGCTGTGGGCTTTTGCCATCACTAAATTGAATAATTTTTTGTGTAGTAGGTAAAAATTGTGAACAACCTGTCCATGGACTTCGAGCTGTTCTGTCTTGGCCCATACTTTTGCTAGGTTCTCTATCAACACTGTATTCACTATCTCCTTGCTTAAAATGTTGCCGTGTCATTAAAAGCATACGTCCTACTAGATCAGTTGTTGATACACCAGCTGTTCTTTGAACTTCTCTGTAACAATCAAATTTGCTTATATTTCATTTATTCCTAACTAATATCATTGTTGCTAATCATATTCTTATAATTAATTATTTTATACCTGTAACGACCTGCTGCTTTGACCAAATGATACGTGTCTATACCATCTGCTGTCATAGTGATGTCATCACCATGAACACAAAAATCACAATTGTATTTATCTAATGTTTCTAAAGTCGTAACATAAGGTGCTCCTTCAACTACCTCATCTACCCATTTGATACCACGAACCATTTTGTACCTGCCATAAATATATTAAATTAGAGAACAAGTATGAATTTAAAGTAATTCAATTGTTTTACTTAAATAAAATTATACCTCTCTTGTTCCATAAATACTGGTGGCCCTTTGTGTTTGGTAATTTCTTCATCTGTATGTACACCCACAACTAGATAATCACCTAATGCCTTCGCTTGACGTAAAGAATTCGCGTGGCCGAAATGTACCATGTCATAACTGTGTTGGGAAAATAATTATTTAAAAAAAATATTTACGTATTTATAACACAACGAATTGCGCCGGCAAGGAATTTAAACGAATTTATTTGATAGTGAAATTCACATATTAATAGTTCAATGTAGCAAAAATTATAATTTTTCTCATGTATAGGACAGGAAAATTCTCGTCAAATTAGAAATGAAAAAAATATAAAAAAAGAAAGATTATATTATATTATCACCAATATTAACTACACAAAATTATCACTGCAATTTTTGCTATATATATGAATATATACATATTTGTGTCAATATACACATGTCGTCCATATCAAAACTCTAACGATCAGCATCCTATTATCAAAAAATCATGGTCATATCTTAATTTTGGACAATAAACACGTGAAATTTAAAATAAATACTTAATAAGATAAGAACCTACCATCCATCACACCACACTCTTACTTCTTTGCCATTTTCTGTCATAATGAATAAAATTTATGTTTTTAATACAAAAAAAGGAACTCTTTTTTTTTAAATAATAACCAATAACTACGAAATACACTACACCAAATCTTAGAGCGCACTGCGCGTGTCGCCGACTCACGCGTCACGCGTCATACATTTTTCATCAACTACATCCCCACTTCCTTCGTCATTACATACATTATCCAAGTAATAACACTGAACATTGAAAAATATATATATATATATATACACATATCTCATTGATTATATCACTGAAAAAAATTTTTATTTTTCCAATGAAAATAATATCAAACAAGATTATATACGATTGAAGCACAGTTATTTATAGTATAGTACATTGCAAAGAATAATCGAATTTTTTCCTCTATTTCATACATATGTACATATATGTACATACTTAATAAGCAAATCGAAAAGAAATAACTGACAATTTCCATACTCTTACCTCTCTCGTCAATAGACGTTCGATTTTGAACATACACCCATTAGAGGTAATACTATATTTAACAATGCGAAATATTTGAAAGTAAAAAGATCGTGTAAAGATTAAAATGATATTCATATATTAAATATATAAAGTGATTTACAATTAAATATTGTGAGCCCAAATAACTTACTGTATGTTATAGATTTTTGAATAGTTCTTAATTTCGTGAAAAGATTTACCTATATTCGTCAAGCGTAAATTTTATAAATTACATAAATTGAAAATGACATAATTTTTCAGTTGTACAAATTTAATGTTGTGAGTAGAGAAACATTAAATACGGAGTAATAACATAACAATATAATATTATTACAATTAAAGTGGATACTTCATTATTTATTAAACAATATTATACAATATAAAAATATTACAATTTCAAATCTACAAAATTTACTATGTTAATACAACATGAATATCTTGTCTCTAAAATTCCGATCTGATTTTTTAATTTACTCAGCTAATGTCAAATATATTTACGCAACATCATAGAACACTTAAATATATATTGAGTACTATAAAAAACTAATGATTTTATGATGTAAATTCTAAAATCGCAAAAGCAATCAGACAGGCACACATAATCGGCAATTGTAATTCTAATAATATCGCAAAAGTGTAACTATATGACATTGTGTCGGAATGAATCAATAAATTGACTTCATCATATGGTTTTTGATAAATGCTTCAGCCAATAATGAAAAAGACATTTCATGGCATGTAGTATTGATTACATAAAGACATATATTATTATATTATTTTATGATAAATGATAAAAAGTAATAAAAAATAAAATTCTAAATAATTGCATAATCGTTTTAATAAATAAGTTTGTGATTTTGTAACAAAATCTGTATACAGAGTAAACTGATTATGATAATGTTTCAAAATAATATAACGATTAGATAATTTAGTATTTTTGTATCCAATAAAAAATTTAATGAATATATTTTACTTCATGAATAATGAAAATAAACTGTAATAATAAAAATTGATGTAGAATTATTTAGATATTTTATACTTATATTATTTTATTAAATTTCTAACACTACAATGCATGGGATTTTATATCCTCTTAAATTTAATACAATTCAATGCATTGTATCTTCGAAATAATACAGATGATTCATGCATTTACGACTTACACCATCACTTTTATAAGAATCACATTTTTGTAAATTAGGCAATTTCAATTGCCTAGGTATATTTTTCCAATAATAAACCAATATTTTTCGTTTCTTACTATATGTTTCTTAAAACTTTTGTATTTTAAAAAACATTATTATTTATTATCTTATATCAGATTTTATAAGCTTTTTTTAAATTTCTGTTTGATCTATTATGTTCACTAATAGTTTAAATTAGACGTTAAATTTTATGAGAAAAATATAGTCACATTTGCAAGAATCACAATCATTTTGCAAAAATCAAAATTAGTAGTTCTTTCTACTACTACATTTACATATATTTTTTTTACTTTTTTTTCTTTCTTTAAAAAAAGAGAATGGTTATAAATGTATATATGTATGAATTGTTATAATCTAAGCTCACTAATACATTTAGTAATATTGTTTTAATCGCTCGTAATATTACATGCACTTTAATCTAGTCATATTTAGTTATAGTGAGAAGCACGTAGGAAACATGTTCTAAATAGAACATTTTTCCGTTTGTTTCATTTTTTTACTATATTACAGAAAACTTTCTTTCAAACTTATTTTAAAATTAATAGCCATTTTGTTGTCTATAATTACTGCTACCTCCACTTCCTCCTCCACTTGCTCCATATCCACCATTTTGACTGTAACCACTGGAACCTCCACCAGAACCTCCTCCATATGTGTTTTGAGAAAATGCTTTGCTATTATAATTGCCTCCTCCCATGCCTTCCATATAAATAAATATAAATTATTGAATAATGTACATAAGAAAGTAAAGTAGAAAAAAGACAAAAAGTCCTACAATTTTTATTTGAGGTCATACTGCTATTATTGCCATTCCATTTATTTCCTCGGTCTCCTCCACTGTTATTAGAACGGTCAAATCTGCCACCTCTATCTCCGTCACGACCACCTCGTGAACCACGGGAATTACCACCACGGCCTCCAGAACCACGTCCACCACCACCGCCGCTACGTCCTCCATAACGGCCTCCTGAATAGATAACGTAAAATATAGTAATATTAAATGCAAAAATAGTTTGGTCAATTCAGAATAGAATATGTATATAGATATATACTTTTATAAATGCCTGGATTTCTCGATAATTCATACAATTTGGGATTTACAACTTGTTTTGCTTCTTCTAAAACTTGAATTAAGTCACTAGCCTTGTGTGCGTTATTAGGAGTGAAAAATGCATATGCGGTTCCTGTTCTCTGTGAACGTCCTGTACGACCGATGCGGTGTACATAGTCTTCAGAATTGGACGGGTAATCCAAATTTATCACAAACTTAACATCTTCCACATCTATATAACATTAAAAATTGAAATCATTGGAAACGAAAATTACTTGTGTCTTTGTGGTTCAAATAACTTATAAAGCGAATTAATTAAAGCATTAGTGACATCATATTATGTGCAATATAAATGGAATTAAATGTAAAAAATTGAATGAAACAGACCATTATATATTATAAATATTTATATACGTATACAAAAATATTATTCATTATTAACTCTTAATTCCACTTATAATATTCACATGAAATACACAAATGAGTTGACCACAAAGGGCAAATTTTTATATTATTTACCTGTAGTTGCCAAAAGCTGGAAACGTAAATACATTTTTGGAAATGTAGAGGAATCAGAGCTCAGATGGTTGTCATGGAATTCTCACTTTATGCGTTAGCGAGCTGTATATTTTTACTCTTAGTAACTTCACACCCTTCTCTCCCGCACCAAAGTATGGATCTGTGCTGGTCTTTCAAAATTTGGTCCTTGTTTCCGTGAGGTTGGAACATTGGATGAGCACCATGTGCGTTCTCCGATCAACCCCACATGCATTCCATTGTATGAGTAACATCAACATTTGTTTTGCAATGTTAAGAGTTTAGAAACTTTTTTTTGTACTAATGCATATTTTTGACAATTTGTAAATCAGATATTTGTAAATTGTGAATGTATAATAAATTTTTTTCTTTTAATTTAGTAGAAAGTAAAATTTTAGAAACAATGCAAAACAATGTAATGCTATTTCCTATCCTTCTAATCTATGTAAGTGGTATAATATCTATCCTGTCTAGTAGTCCTTGTATGTTATATACCCTAACTCTATGATTTCCATACTTTGGACCGTCGCAACAGAGTGAGAGTGTGTTTTTTCAAGTGGCACGGTGAGCCGAGGCACAGCGTTAGGTTAGCTTGTTCCGCGGGGACAGACCAGCAGTCACGCCCCATTCAATTATATATTCCAAAGCAAGCTCTCCAGAGTTCTTATCATTGATAAAACTCCGTCGCATGTGCCTCTGAAAACACATAGAACAGCACGTTAATACCAGACTGACAAGACTTTTTTCAATCAGAGCAAAATTTAAAGACATGAATCTTCTATCATCTTACCTGTTTATCTAATCTAATGCTGAAATATTTTGACTTACTTTTAATTCCAATATTAATGTTAATGCTAAAGTACACATGAAAATACATATTCTTCAGAATAACTTATGTTTTAAATTAAAATATTAAATTTATTTATTGAAATTTGAAAAATTTCATTAATAAAACATTGTTAAACAATTTATAAAATATTATTAGAGATTAAAAGTATGCCAAAATCCACCTACACTACAATAAAACTAAAATTACAAAATATCCCTTCAGTATTGTTGTGCTGAAAAGATGAGAATAACAGCATTAACTTTCTTTTCACGATTTTATAATATATCATCAAGTTCTCTGAATAATGAGTTAATGGAAATCAATTAAAATTTCCTAAACAAAATGAAGTAGAAACTTAATTCAACAACTGTATTAATTGATAGTTCTCTTCTTGAACCTCTGCATTTTTTAAACAATTTCCATTCACACCAAGAAAAGACTAATGTCAATCAGTCTGGCACATGCCGTTATCCGTTGCCACATCACAATTATACAACTCTCACAAATGTGAAATAACCATCGCAGCCTGACCCTTACATCATATCCACTGTGTAAACAGATTCTTACCTAATCCTCTTGCTGCAACATCTGTAGCTACTAGAATGGCAGATCTGCTATTCCGGAACTCTGAAATAAATTCTTTAGTATTAAGCAAAATATGTATTTATATATAAAGACCTTTAGTTAATACTTACGATTTAATACATAATCTCTTTCTTGTTGACTTTTATCTCCATGGATGCCAATTGCTTGCCATCCATACCTATTAATTGCACGTGTTATATCATCTACTTTTCTCTTAGTCTCAACGAAAATAATAGTTTTATTTTCTGGTTCATTTGATATTTCTTCTAAAAGTTTCATAAGTTTACCCTCTTTCTCAAATTCTTCACATACATCAACAATTTGAAGGATATTGTGATTGGCAGCTAATTGCAGAGAGCCAATATTAATTTGTATGTAATCAGTTAAAAATTCCTCTGCAAGATTACGAACTTCCTTTGGCCATGTTGCTGACCACATAAGAGTTTGTCTATCCGGTCGGATTTGTTCTACAATTTTTCTAATTTGCGGCTCAAAGCCCATATCAAGCATTCTATCTGCTTCATCAAGTACTAAGTATGTGCATCTACGTAAATTTGTTGTACCACGTTCTAAGAAGTCAATAAGACGCCCTGGTGTTGCTATACAAATTTCAACACCTCGCTCAAGATCACGAGCTTGAGGACCTTTTGGAGCTCCACCAAAAATGCATGTATTTCTTACTTGTGACGAGATACCAAAATCTGATGCAACTTGCTGAATTTGCTGTGCAAGTTCTCTTGTTGGTGCTAAAATCAAAGCTATAGGCCCATCATTACGATTTAATCTTGGTTGATGATTTATATGTACAATTGCTGGTAAAATATATGCTAATGTTTTTCCAGATCCCGTTTGAGCAATTCCAACCATATCACGTCCAGACAAAGCAATAGGCCAACCTTGTGCCTGAATTGCAGTTGGTTCTCCAAAACCTTGTCTATGGATTTCATTCAAAACATAATCTGGGAATCCACCTTCTTCGAAATATATATTTGGCCCTGGCACATTTGTTCCTTTAACAGTAATTTCTTTGTCTGAACGGTAAGCCTCAACTACATGCGAATTTCTAGTTGTAACATTAGGATGAGGCTGATAGAAATCTTTTCTAAACGGTAGTAATGCACTCATATCCCATCTTGGCTTTCTAAGTCTTTCTCCAGGTTGACGGTTTTTAAAATTATTGTTTCCAAAACTACTATCTCTACTAGAATTACTACCAAATCTTCCACCTCCGCCACTTCCATCTCGGCCATTAAAACGACCACCTCCACGTGCTCCTCCTCTTCTATCATTACGTTCGCGATCACGGTATGCCCTTTAACAAAATAATTTTTAAATATCAACTAAATGTGAAAACATATGTGCATACATATAATATGTAAAATTATGTGATCAATTAAAAGACATATTACAAAGGAAATGTTTTATTTTCCAATGTAC